CAAAGGCTGAACTATAATTCCTTTTTATTGGCATTTTAGACTTTATAACCAGCGATCAGTTGACTCGTACATTTTATAATCATTTATACCTGTATTTTTAGTCTTTACTGGGCAATCACTCACTAGAAATCGAATATTTTTTGCATCTGGATATTTTTCCTCTTTTGATCTGATCGCTTTTGATTTTTCGAAGAGATTCAGCTTGACATTTTCTGTTTATTCTGATCGATTTCCCATTTATTTTTATTCAATTTCGTCTTTTTGTCGTTAAATTTTCTTTTATAAAGCATTTTTTGGCATTACGCTGTATAAGTTGATTGATTGTTTGTGTAACTTCCTAATTATTTTTATTAAAAATCTTTTAATGAACAGGTATAGAATTATATATGAATATTCAAGCAATAATTGTTTTGTGTAATTATTTTTGAGGATATTTATAAATTTCAATTAGAAAAGGTAAAAAAAGTTAATTCTATCGTATAATTTTTTATTTGTATAAAAAAAAGCTTAAAAAGAAATCCTAAGAAATCTATTGATTTGAATCTTACTCCAAAAATTAAAACTTAAAACTTAAAACATTAAAAAAGTTAAGAATGCTTTTATTTTTATATATTAAAATCTAGAATGGATATTTAAGAAGAGTTAGTGCAAAATTTTTTTTGACTAAATCAAACGTTTGAAGGGTATTCTTTTCAACTTCTATACATTCAAACTGAAAAAAAAATAATTAAAAAAAACACTAAGCGTTATTTTTTAATTTTAACACTATTACTGCTTTCTTACATTTTTCACCCGATTAAACATATCGAGTGGTACTTTTCCGTCCTCTTCACATCAATCGATTAATAATTATATATGGGAAATTTAATAATTTGATTTTGGCCTTTCTACAACTTTCCAGATTCACCTTCAGAAAACTTTTATATTTCTGCTAGAAATATATTTCTTTTTTACGATCGAAAACATTTAAAGATGCCAAAAAAATTATATAATTGCCGATTTTAATCGCAGCTTTAATATTATAAAATATAATGCAATATTTTTTAAGAAATTACTTCGAATAAATAAATGTAAATTATTTTGGGATAAGTTAGTTATACTGCTTAAGTTTTTTTTGTCTTTAGTTTGAAAAAAGCCATTGAAGCGATCAGAATATTGAAATATATCTTTTTTTGTTTTGAAAGCTTTATACAATCTATATGATAATATATCATATTACGCAATTGTTTAAAAAGTGTTTGCTTAATAAATTCAGTTTTTTCTTGAACTCATTTAAATAAATTAGATTACATATGTAGTTTGAAGAAAAATAGATGTAATTCAATTATTTATTTTAAGCTCCATGAATACTCATTATAATAAATTTAGTAGTAGAATAGTATATTTAGTATAATACACAAAATATTTTTACATTCATTCATTCATCTTTGAGACTACAGCCCTGTGCAAACCTTGGCCTCCAATAGTAATATCGCCTACTGGTCTTTTTCCAGTGGGTTCGTTTACTTATTGAGTTTCGTAACAGGTAGTTTTAAAGCGTGGGTTGTTAGCCCTACGCCCATCCCAACATGGAGTATCAGTCCCTTTTAGTCGCCTCTTACGGCAAGCTGAGAATACTCCAAACCAATTCTGCTCTCGGTATGGTGCGGAAATATTTTTACATTATTGACAAAATATTATTCTACTCTAGGATTAACAAATTCGGTCACTAAAAATTTCGAACACATTTAGCGTAAACGATAACGCCAGCACAAAATAGTTTCTAACACAAAATATTTTGACCGTATTCTTATTATTTAATTTATTCCTTAAATATTTTTTAATTTAAAAACTGATTAAATCGAAATATTTATTCTTTTTAGGTAAATAAATTATATGTTTTGTTACGAAAAATTGATCCATTTATGAATGGAAACCATTATCCAACGATATAAACACTTTATTCATTATGGTTTTACAACTTATTAGTATATATTATACATTTACAATTTTTAAAATATTTTTAATTCATTTCTATCATTTTACATAGCAATGTAGAAATTTAGTATTTTTGTAGGTTCTGTTTATTTCTAGTAAATATTTAAATTTGATATTATTAAAATATTTAAATCGACAGAATTTAAATAAAATAATTTTATAGTACTGTTATTTTATTTAGAATCCAAATATAATATTAGAATTCTCGTCTGCACAAGTTTATTGTAAATAAAATAAATAAAAAATAATCAATTCGTTATTTGTAGAAATTCTCTTTTGAATAAATTTATTGTAAAAAAACGAAATAAAAAGGTCCAATTCGGTATTTAGAAGAATAAAAATTCTTTTTTAAATAAATTCAACAAAAAAATATAAAAATAATTTTTAAACCAGTTTTTAAATTAACTGATAAATAAAAAAAACAAAATCATTAAATATCTGACATTTTCTATATTACACTAATTGAATTCTATTTAAGGAATTAAATTTGATTAATTTATCTATAAATATATTCAGAAATTTCTACCCATGACGAGAAAAGAAGGAAGAGCTATTTCCCATCCAAACATAGCATTGGTAAAGTATTGGGGGAAAAAGGACATTGAGATGAATATTTCTTCTAACATGTCTGTGTCTCTTACTTTAAAGAATTTGGAAACTGTTACAGTTGTATCACCAAGTGAAGAAAAAAGAGACATTTTTATTTTAAATGGACATGAAAGGCCTATGAAGGAGAGAATGATCAAAGTGATACAACTTTTCAAGAAGAGAGCAGGTGATGTATCGTATATAAAGATCGATTCGAAAAATAATTTTCCTGATTCTTGTGGATTAGCTTCTTCTGCTTCTGGATTTTCTGCCTTGGTAAAAGCACTTAATAACTTTTACGATTTAAATATTTCTACACCCGAACTTACAGAGATAGCAAGATATGGTTCAGGTAGTTCCAGTAGAAGTATTTATGATGGATTTGTATGCTTGGATGGTGTCAAATCATATAAGGTTTCTGACTGGGATGATGTCAAAGTATTTGTAATTCTTTTGGAAGATACCGAAAAAAAAGTATCGAGTACAGAAGGAATGATTAGGTGCGCCAAAACAAGTAATCTTTACAATTTAAGATTGAAATATATTAATTACAAAGCCCAAGAAGCTATGGAATATATTAAAAATAAAGATTTTACAAATCTTGCTGTTCTTACCATGAAAGAGGCAAATGAAATACATGCTATATTTATGGATTCTTATCCACCTATTTGGTATTTGAATCGTAGAAGCTTTGAAGTAATCGATAAGGTGTTTGAATTAAATTCTAAATCGATTAAAGCAGCTTATACTTTCGATGCAGGCCCAAATCCTTTTATTTTAACTTTAAGAAAAGATTTTGAAGAAATATTTAACCATTTTAAAAATCTTGGATTTAAAGTTATTGAAGCGCTCTAATTAAAATTTTAGTCTCGTAAATATGTTTAAATTTCTTTAATAACTTTTAGAGAATTCTTTATCGTTAATGAACATCCCACTATTTAATTCCCTCTTATTTTTCAATTATGAAAATTTATGAATTTCTATTATTCTCAATGAATTTTCTTAATTATTCTTGGTTTTTATAATTGCTTCAATTTTTAGATTTTTTATGTTCTTCGAAATAATTTCATTATAAAGTCAAGTCTTTCTTAATGAATTTATTTTATCTCGTTTAAGTTTTATATAGTGTTTATTATAATTCTTTATAATAATATCTTCTTATTATATTCCGGTATCTCTCGAAATATTTTTATACTCTTTTCTATGGTGATTCCTTCTTGTTAATTTTTTTCTGATTTCTCAGAGTTTATGAATTCTTATTTGATTTGATAAAGAATTATAATCAGAAGCCAAAAATATTTATTCTCTATTTATTAAACTCTAAAACTTACAGTCATTTTTTTAAAAAAATACTGAAAGTTAATAAAAAAAACTAACATAAGAAATATTCGAATAAATAATTAAATACACTGTTTAATTGACAAAAAAATATTTAAATTTACGATTTTAGTATTTCTTTTGGTTTTTCTAAATTTATATTTTAAACTTTTTCTTGGAAAACTGAATACTAAAATACGATTTTAGTTATTTTGTAATGATCTGTAAAGTATACGTCAGATGTTTATATGATGGATTATAATTGTAACTAATTATTAAAGATTAGTTAGCTGGAGGTTTTTAATTTATAAAAATCAGGAGTAAGAAAATTTAATAGCACTTTCAAACTTTTATGTCAAATTTTTTTTAAAAAAGATTCTTTGCAAAATAAAAAGAAGTAGAATTATGTTTATTGAAGTGATTTTTTCTAACATTTTAAATCAATTTTTTTTTGAAAACAAAATCTTTAACAAAATCATTTAGTGAGGTTTTTACTTTAGAAAATTGTTCTTTACTAGTCATTGTATCATACTCGGAATATTCAAGTACGGATATAAGATTACATATTCCATAATAATCTTTAAAACATTCAAATAATTTTATAACAAAATCTAGTTCGCTAAAACTATAAAAAATACTTATTTCTGGTGTATTATCATAAGCCTCTAAATACTTAATAATTTTATCAGAAATGTCCTCATTAAATTCAAATGCATTCACTTTTATAATATTTTTATCGTAGTTAAACAATGCTATGTTGTTATTTATTTGTAGTATTTTAGATTTTACATCAAATGATATTTCTAAATTGGTTTGTTCTATTTTTACATTATATGGTATTTCTTTGTTATTTATTTGACCAATAAATATTACAAAAGAATTGTTTTCTATTGACATGGTGGGTTGTTAATTATAACGGTATAAATTATATTTTTAATTGGCAAATCAAATTTTATAAATTATAAAAAGTTGGGAATTGTAAAAAAAAAGTATTTTTTACAAATTTGGATTACAAAAATACTTCTTAGAATTTTTTTACGTATTTTGTAAAAAAAACTTATTAAATACTTTTACAGTTACCAATATAGAAGAAGGGTGTTGAAGGTTTGGCAAAAAAAAGGCTTCCACGGGATTCGAACACGTGACCTTTCCCTTACTAGGGGAACGCTCTAACCAACTGAGCTAGAAAGCCATTAACTATGAATAATTTACTATATAATTTCTATCTACAAAGACTATTTATAATAAACATAAACCTCAGTAAGCATGAAAGTGTTACGACCGAATACTTAAATTAAGAACCATAGAATCTAGATAAAAGATCAAAATAAAAGAAATAGGTCAAAAATTTAGGAAAAATAGAAATTATAAAGGAAATTTCTGCCAAGGGTAAATTATAATGAAATATAAAGAAAATGATCTAGTTTTAAATTTCTATTTTAATTATAACTGAATAGATATACAGGACCTTTATTTAAACTTAATTCTTATTGATTCAAGATTCACTTCAAATAGGTGAAACTGAAAAACTTAGGAAGTATGACCTGGTAGCCAATGAGCTGGGTTTTATTTATAAGTGTAGTTTTGAGATAATCTCTTATGTGATGACCTGGACGGCATCGTGACCAAATACCATAAATCACACCTTAAAAGACTATAAATACCCATGAATGTAGAGGCATACATTTAGTCTATAGTACTTAATAAAACAGTCGAAACAATTTCCTTTGATCGACGAAGAGGACTTGAGTCAGCACCAAATGTCGAAAAGAGCGTCAATGTGTGTTGTTATGAGAGCAGAGATGCATGAGAAACCAACATCCCTTTTGAAACAAGCGAGTAGAGAGGAAAATGGGGCAAAAAATTTAAAAACAAAAAATAAAGCACCCTTTATTTCAAAGGAGGAACCGACGATAAATATAAATAAAGAGTTAAAGTTGGAAGAAGAAACAACTTTGGTGAAAAGGGTAGAAGAAAATGCATAAAAATCTTCAAGCCACTTTTACCCAGAATTTTATTAAATAAAATTCTTATTGATTTAATATAATTATAACAGATTTTAGATTTACATGAATCTAATGAAAAAGTATTTACTTCCCAACACTTTTCTTATTGTTAATTGATAAATAAACCACTTATTACGATATATTCTAAGTTTATGATCATATTGTTTATGTCTTATCTAATATTGTCTATAATTGATAAAAAAACGGCTTACTAATATGCTTTGAATTTACATATCACTTTAAGTAATATTTAGACTTTCTTTGAAAATCAATGTTTAATATGTCTAATTGTTTTTATATAACTATCAATTATTATTATTTTATAGTAGCTTTGTTCAAAGATAAACTCTTTATAATCTTTTGAAGTAATAAACATGTATAATAAAATCAATTTATGCTTTAAAGTACAAATAATTAATTCTTTTGCGAAATTCGGTTAGTGGAGGGTGGATTACCACAAAAAAACTTTCTACTTGGCAAGAAATATTTGAAACTGGTGTGAAGATCATAGTTTGTATTTTTTGTAGAAATAAAACCACACTAAAGTTTCGGCATGAATTGGATTTGTATGAGGAGATCTACTAAATAGCGATACTTTTTCTAAAAATTTAATTTTTAGTTTTTTATGTAACTAGATTGAAGAAGGTAGCTAAGATTGTAGGTAATCGTTATGTAAAGCGTAGAAAAATGGTTTTGGTCACAGAGGTTTGAAGATTTCGCACCTGTATATATAAAAAATGAAATAATTTAAAGCATAGAAAGCTAAGTAGCAGGTTATACATTTTTGTATGACAATGCAGTGTCTAGGTAGACTCCATATAAGTCTCTGAATATATCTTGGCCAGGTGTTTATTGAGCTCATAAAGTGTAGTGTAGGTGAAAATACTGTGTAGTATTGGGGGCCCTAGGTGGTTTTGATCTAAGATCAAACTCCATGCAACCAACATAACCGAATTCCGGGCAACTGCATCGCTCATTAATTAGTTTATAAATATCTTTTAGGTGAAAGGAGTAGAAATGTAGGTATCTTATGAGGTACTGATAGAGCTTCGAGTGTACAGTAATTTACTTTAACCTTAGAACTGCATCAATATCATGAAAACGAAATAACACTTGCCACCTTTTTAAAAAGATGTGATACTTTTTAATAAAGCACTTTTAAATTTTGAGAAATATGCTAGAATAATATAAGCTTTAGAAGGCACTAGAATTGTCTTGTTATTTCAATCAAACAATTAAGTTTAATTCAATACTATTGATATTTATATAGAAATAGCTTTTCTATATTTATCACTTTTTTCGTCGAGTAAATATTCCTAAAACTACCTTAAAAATATAAATATGTCGAATATATTACTTGTGTAGATATTAAATGTTTAGATAAAATATTTTAAAATAGTTAAATACCACTATTAAAGTGATATTCGCTCAAAGGAATGGTACATTAAACAATAACATATTTTATATAAATTAATAAGAATTTAGATAAAAATTAAACGGTATTAGTTTAAAATATTACTGATTTTCAAATGAAACTATATTTAGAAAAAAAAGTACTGAGATTCGTTTTAATAGAAGAATAAAATAGCCCACTTAAATGCATAATTAAATATAGAATTTTAAATCTGTAAACATATAAATAAATATTGAATTCCTTGTTAAATTTATTCAAGCGTTAAGTTTAATGTTTTTTTTGCATACAATACTTCTTAACCACCTTACTGCCCTTACTATAACTTGCACAGTTTTTAAATTTTCATCAAATATTTTCGGCAGTTGTAATGCCCAAAATTATGTTTTTGGCATTTCGCCTCATCTACTCAACATTATATTACTCATCTTTATTTTTTTGTAAAAATAAAGCGCTGCATGTTTCTCGGCTTTCTGTAAGGTATATATTAATGATTTATTTCTTCTTTCGTTAGACTTTAGCCCTGGCTCTAGGGCTCTTCATCGACCAAGGAAATTTTTTCGATTCCTTTTGGATATTTTCGACTGTACATACCCATCAATTAGTATAAAAATATTAGGATTCATAGGGCTTATATTATGGTAATTTGTAAAAATATTACCAAGGTGTATCACAAATAAATATTCCCACACCACTTTATATATTATATCAAATGAATATTTTGGTGATTATTCAAACTTTCGTAGTTTCACAGTTTTAACATTTTGAAGCGAGTCTAATCGAATAAGTCTTTCATTTATAAGTGGAATAATATTCTATTTTTTATTCTATAAAAAAATATTCGATCTATTATTGCTAATTATGGCAAATTTTTAATTCTGATATCCAATCATATTTTATAGTCATAATTAAGAATCTCTGAACTGAGTGATTTCTAATCTATTTCTTAGGCTTGGTTTGAATTCATTTAGGAATTGTATATATTGAAATGGAACTATATAATTATGGCGTTAAATATAGAATGCCGAGCAGGTTCTCACATCTAGTTGCTAATTATTTTGTTCATATTCTAAATTGACCTTGTATTGACAGTTTTATTATTTCAATAATACATTTAGATCTTGGATATAACAGAAAATACTCTTCTCGCGTGGCTTGGTGGTATTTTTATTGCGCTATTATGAAGAACATTAATATACAGTGGCTAAATATTTAAGAAAGATAATACAATAAGAGAATTGTAATCCAATAAACATCACATCTTTATATACAGTACATATGCTATATTGTTTTCATGACATTAACACCGTTCTAGGTTTTACATATGACTGCTGCCCGCACTCCACAGTATCCCTTAGATACCTATATCTCAAAGCCTTTTATCTAAAAAGTGAATAGCCCGAATTAATGAGCGAGACAGTTATCCGAGATTCGTTAATGTTCGTGCATGAAGTGTGATCATGGGTAAAACTCATCCTGGGCTCCTTAGATAAGCAGCATTCTCACTTACTCTATAGATTACGAGCCCAATAGACATCCTGCTAAGATATATATCGGCGACTCACATGGGATATATAGACAGTGCAATGTCATACCAACAGATATAACTATCCTCTTAGCTTTATGAGCTTCAACGGGGTTTATTTTTATATCTCGTAGGCGCTAAGATCTCCATCCCGAGAAAGCAAGGATAGGTATTCATGTTTTTACATGGCAATTATTTACAATTTCAGCTGCAATTTTCGATCTGGTTACATAAAAAACAAAAAATAAATTTGTAGAAAAGGTTTCGCAATTTCTTAGACCTTTTCTTCCTCATATAAATCACATGTAAAAACCAAAAATATAAAGTGGGTTTATTCGGTCCGTAAATCCAAAAAATGATATTTCCACCGATTTCACGTACTCATTGCCAAGCAGATAGTTTTTTGTGTGGTTATCCTCGCTCCACTATTCAAAGATAATAACTGTTAGAATAAAATATCAAACTAAATATAATTTATTTTAAATTTTTATTAGACTATTTTTAAGGAATACATGTTTTTATTTTACTAATGGCTTTCCATACATCTTTTGCCGAATGACTAAATTTTAATATTTTCTTTGCTTTTTGAAAAAATGATACAAGTCTAAAATTTTTACCTTTTTCTTGAAGTTTGAATAAAAGATATTCCAACCATAAAACATTATTTTCAGGCGAAAATTTTTTCCAGTCATTTTGGTTATTGCTTTTCATCTTTGGATAAATTTTCAAATGTTCTTCCCCTATAATCGTCTCATCTTCAAATAACCAATCAAATTCGTTTAAATCTTTGTAAATTATTGTGCCTTTATGGTTCAATCTACTCAGTGAAAAGTCTATAATTTTGACGTTTAAGAATTTACTAATAAATTTCTCATTTTTAGAAATTTTTACACCTTCTTTAATTTGTGTAATATTCTTGCTTTCTAATGAGATTATATCATTGCTTTTAAACTCTTTAATTTCCTCAGAATTTATGTATTCTTTATTTTCACTAAAATTGAGTTTATCAGGTGCATTATTTACGAATTGATTGTTTGAGGCTATATTTTCTTTGAGTTCATTAATATTCTGATTACTGTCATCGATCATTACGCTTTTATTATGCGATATTTTATATTTGTTCTTTAAAGTATGAGCATAATTATTTAGATGTTTTTTTTTATTTTCTCTTTTCTTCTTTGGTAGTCTATTTATCAGAATATTTCCCCAATGTAAATCTCGGTGTTCAAATTCATATTTACTTTCCATGT